ATGGCCAGAGCAACTCCCCTTGTTGACACTCACGCCCACACTGTCGCACGTGCTTCCATTGCTGGGTGGATATCAGGATTTGGAGTGCCAACCCATTTAACATCAGACGGGAAGTCAGTCTGAGTCACAACTTTGGAGCAATATTATGGGCGTCTTCTGTATGCGTCAGAAAAGTTAAATCCGGATTAAAGTTTAATCCAAATCCACAGTACTTGCTCAGAAGATGTGAGACACTGCCAGACGCACGAGTCAATGCGATTATCAGTAAATCTACTGTTTTACATGGAAGGGCATTTTTATTCTGGCAATCAGCATTCACCCCTTGAAGTTTCATATGACCCTAAGGCCACAGTAATTTTTTTTTCTTGAATAATGGGCCTGCCGACTTTTATTTCTGGGAAAAAGTGAAAATCCGAATCTTTTTATTCTAATTTCTTGCCGATATTGTGACGTCCGCGAAGAAAATAGCAAAAAATAAATACAAACCAGTTTGTCTATGACTCATTGTGTATGGTATCTCCCGTCCTTCAAACAAAAATAATATATATTTATACCTGACTCTTATGTGCCATGTCATGTCTATTGTCTATCGTGAATATTTTTTATTTTGATTTCCAATATATCAAATTATGGTTGAAAGAATTATTTGCCTGTACACGTCCTGTTTTGGAGCTTTTTTTCTTCTTCTTCTTCTCCTTCCCTCCGACATTTCATTATCACCAGACTTGTCCGCAATTGTCTCGTTATCCCATTAGGCGTTTTTTAACAGACAATATACACATTTACGGTAGTATTATATCATGAAGATATGCATCTGTGCCACTGCAAATAAAAAAAAAAAAAAATTTCAATTACCCTTTTAATTTTATTGTCAACTGAATTAAAGGAGCCAAACAAAAGATACTCACATCAGTTTAAATTCGCGGGAGAGTTTCCTCCGAGAGCTCTTTCTCGTGAGTGATCGCGGGACACGGGGTGGGTAGTTTTTCAGGATGTGCTGTCGAGGAATATCATAACAAATTTCCACGCGGCTTTAAAGTCATTGTAATCCGAAGATTCAGGAGGTTTGTACTCTGAATTTGAAACCTAACGGCGATGTTATCAAAAGCTTTCTTTTTTAGTCTATTGATATGTTACATAAGTTGGGGGTGTTTTTCTAACCTGGGGCCGGATTCACTAACATACGATCGTAGCGCATTTACCAGGGGTACCATTGCGGTTACCAGTGATGACAAAGTGGGATTCACGAAGAAATGGTAATTTGGATATGAGGAGTTACAATCGTAAATCGCCTCATTCTAAAAGTAGCCAATAGAGGGCTCTAGTAAAGGAATTCCACCAATCAGCGAGCGCCTTACATAAACTTTTAGGCTCCTTCGGCCAATCACGTAACATGTAAACAGACTAATCGTCAACTAATCTAAAACACCAATGAAGCAAATGTAGAAATAAATAGTATATTTGATTATATCCACTAAGTGGGATATATATATATTTACCGTACAGATAGGAACCAATACAGACACGTTATATTAATATATTGTTTACCTCAAACCAAAGAAACAGTTTTTTATTTATCCATTTACTTTCCATCACTGTTAAACAAAGAACCGGACTAAACAAAATTTTTATTCATCGCCATCTGTCGTCAAGGAAACATTTCATTTCTTGCCCAAGCGCTTTGGAGTTTGTTGTCAAATTGCCGATAAATACAGAAATTTCTTGATCCGTTTAACGTTGGCAATGCCAGTTTGTATAACAGCAAGGTAGTTTTTTCTACAGAATTTGTAATGCTTATGCAAGAGAAGAATTCTTTAAGAGTTCATTTATCTATCGATTCCATGCATTTTAGTACAATATAGGCCTATAATTTTACAAAACATCGAGTGGATTTTATTCTTGCTAGTTTTCATGTGAAATTTGTTAGTGAATACCACCAATGTCTGGTTGCCATGGTAATTATAATTACCAGTGATGTTACCATCGTAAGTGCGCTAGTGAATCCGGCCCCTGGATATAACAATACTTTTCAGTATCTGTGAACTCGAATTCTCTGAGGGATTTTCTTTAATCCGGCACCTGGGCCCGGATTCACTAACGCACTTACGATGGTAAAATATCATTGGAACTATAGTTACCATGGTAAACAGACAGTGGTGGTATTCTCTAACAACTTGCCATTGGAGTTACCATGGTAAATTTTACCAGTGGTCAGAGCACTGGTAACTTCTGGAAGACGATGTCATCACGTGTTATCTCGTCAAAAAATCAATATCTATGCAAAGTTTTGGGTTTGTTTTTACATCTAATGTAACTAATATAATGGCAAACAGATATCACAATGCGGACATAGTAAGAAGTGCAAATTTCACTGAAACTAGCAAGAATAAAATCCACCCAAATTCTTGTAAACTTATAGGCCTACATTATACTAGAATGCACGGAACCGATAAATACTTTAACATTTTTTTTAAATCTCTGACATGATTATTACAAATGTTTTAGAAAAAAATACCTTGCTATATATAAACTGAATGATGAAAATTATATAATAAAAAAAGCTGTTTGGACTGTCTCTTTGGTTTGAGTTAGCAATAATATATTAATTAAGGTTTGTATTGTTCGTATCTATACAGTAAATATATATCCAACATGATGGATTTAATCAATAAATATATTCTTTTTCTACATGTGCTTAAACAGTGTTTTAGCTCTGACAATTATTAAACAATCTCTGTGTCTATTCTGTTTACATGTTACGTATTGGCCGAAGGAACCTAAAAGATATGTATGGCGCTCGCTGATTGGTAATTCCTTTACTAGAGCCCTCTATTGGCTACCATTAGAATGAGTCAACTTACGATTGTAACTCAGCATATCCAACTTACCATTTCTCCGTGATACCACTTTGCATGACTGGTAAACGCAATGGTAAATGACCGCTGGTAAATACTTTACGATCGTATATTAGTGAATCCGCCCCTGGCCCGGATCACTAACACTTACGATGTAAAATCCACTGGTGTAACTATAGTTACCAAGGTAAAACAGGCAGGCGGTGTGTATTCTCTAACAACTTGCCATAGATTACCATGGTAAATCATAGTCAGAGCACTAGTAACTTCTGGAAGACGATTCATCACTTATCTCGTCAAAAAATCAATATCTATGCAAAGTTTAGGTTTGTTTTTACATCTAATGTAACTAATATAATGGCAACAGATATCACAATGCGGACATAATGAAAAGTGCAAAATTTCACATAAAAATAGCAAGAATAAAATCCACACAGATTCTTGTAAACTTAAGGCCTACATTATACTAGAATGCATGGAACCGCATAGATAAGTGAACTTTAACAAAAAATCTGACATAATTATTACAAATCCTTTAGAAAAAAACTACCTTGCTGATAATAAACTTGCAATGTGAAAAAATATATAAATAAAAAGCCGTTTGGACTGTCTCTTTGGTTTGAGTTAACAATGATATATTAATAAAATAGTTTTGTGTTTGTTCCTATCTATACAGTAAATATAATCCAACATGGATATAATCTAATAAATATATATTTTTTTTTCTACATGTGCTTAAATTGTGTTTTAGCTCTGACGATTATTTAACCCCTCTCGCTGTGTCTAGTTTTGTTTACATGCTACGTGATTGCCGAAGGAACCTAAAAGATTATGTATGGCGCTCGCTGATTGGTTGAAATTGCTGTTACCAGAGCCCTCTGTTGGCTACCATTAGAATGAGTTGATTTACGATTGCTAACTCAGCATATCAACTTACCATTTCTTCGTGAATCCCGCTTTTACCATGACTGGTAAACGCAATGGTAAATGACCCGCTGGTAAATGCGTTAAGATCGTATGTAAGTGAATCCGGCCCCTGGATATAACATTGCTTTTCGTGTCTGTGAACTCGAATTCTCTGTGGGATTTTCTTTCGTTTTTCTTTTCACTGTTGAGAGTTATAACTGCAGTTTGAGTATCGCACAACTTATAAATAAATAATATAAGTTAACAAGAAAATGTCAGAATTTGTTATTATCGCCTACAATAACATTATTGGCCATTCAACACTATATTTTCTTAATGGAGTTGATGACGTTTCGATACATATTGGTGGGATTAACTAGTTCGTTCTTGCACGTGCAGGATTTAATTTTGAGCATGCCCAATAAAGATCAAAATAAATAATAAATAAAGATTAAACTTTAAAGGATTTCAATGAAGATAAACTTTCATACTAGATTAACTTTTACGGCACGTACAGAATTACGCCCTATGACTCTGCTGGGTATTCGACGTTACCGTACTTCAAGTTACCATCCTCAAGCCAACGGTCTCGGTCGGCAATTTCACCGTCAACTAAAATCATCATTCATGGCTCAAAGCATGAAGACTGGACGACATCTCTTGTGCTTTGAGACATCAGGAGCTCCTTCGAGTCCGACCTTGGCTCCACTTCTGCAGAGCTTGTATATGGTACATCAATCCGCCTGACGGGGGAAATACTATGCAATTCCTCAGGCTCCATTACCAGCCCTGCCAAGGATCATGCAGCCAAGCTCTGGGCTGTCATGTCCAAGCTTCGACCTGTTCAACCCCGCCAACCATCAACCAGGAACTCCTTCGTCAGTCGCGATCTCCACGACCGTACCCATGTGTTCGTCCGAGTAGATTCCATCCGACGTCCCCTCAGCCACCTCGCGAGGGCCAAACGAAGGTCTTAGGCGTACGAGGAAGACTTACTCTCAACCACGATGCCATTTCTGATTTGATTGCTATAGATCGTGTTGAGCTGCTTACTTACTTGATGGATCTCGTAACCTCGCAAACCATGTGCAACCTTCGTATGTTCGCCCAAAGAAAACTGTAGCGGTCCTCCTTCCTCTCACTTGGAAGGGAATAATGTAGTAATATAGTCTCCCCTGAAACATACTTAGTCAGGAACCATTGATTTATTTCTATTTCTTTCTCTTGTCATAAATACTATTCATATGTATACTTTATAATGTGTGTTATTTTATTATGTTTAAATGCCAAATCTTTGTTTATTTGCATAAGTTGTGTTGTCGATGTAATAAAAGTCACCAGAAAAGGAATGTTTAAACCCTTATATTCCACAAACAGCCTCTCTAGTCTTGTCTTTCGCTGATGAAAAGCCTTTAACGGACTAAACACGGTTGCACATACAATTCGGCTACTCTGACATCAGCTCGGCCTTAACGGACTAAATACGGCGGCAGAAATACTGTTTGGCCAAGAGACTCCTTCCTGGGCTTTAGGAGACTTACACCGCCAGCCGAGGTAGACGGCTTAACCACGTCTCTATAATAAACAACAAGTACTACATTGACAACATTTATTCTTTTCTGTATGTATACATGCATGTCTGTTCCCGTCCTCACTCTCTCTCTCCTCTCCTCCCCTCCCCCCTCCCTCTCTCTCTCTCTCTCTCTCTCTGCTCTGCTCGTCTCTTCTCTCATCTCATCTCTCGTCTGCTCTGCTCTCTCTTCTCTCCTCTCGTCTTCTCTCTCATCTCTCTCTCTCACCTCTCTCTCTCTCTCTCTATCTGCTCCTCGAGGGAATAGGGATGAAAGATAGAAGAGAGACAAAAAAAAAGAGAGAGACAAGAGGAGGGTTAGATAGATTGAGAGGGTAGAGGGAGAGAGAGAGAGACAAGGGGGGGGCAGGAGGGAGAGAGAGAGAGAGAGACGGAAGCAGGGAAGAGAGATACGAGAGAGAGAGAGACGGAAGGAGGGGAGGAGAGGTAAGAAAGAGAGGACAGAGAGAGCAGTGACATATGTACATCATACATATATATATTAGTAAATATATATATATGATATATATATATATACATACATACATATATATAGGAATATATATATATATATATATAGTATATAAATATATATAATAATATATTATAATAATAGAGAGAGAGAGAGAGAGAGAGAGAGAGAGAGAGAGAGAGAGAGAGAGAGAGAGAGAGAGAGAGAGAGAGGAAGGTGGGAGAAGAGAAAAAAAGAAAGAGAGAGAGGGAAACAGCCATACAAAAAAACGAAAACAAACCAACAAACAAAGAGGGAAAGAGGCGGCGAGGGAAGGGGACTAAGAGAGACAGAGAAGCGATTTTAGGCTTTTATTAGTCAAAGTGCACATCAAAAGCCCCGACACCAACAGGATCTCATACGGACGCCATTTTCTTCTTCTCTCCCATTTCTCTCTTTATTTAGAAGAGGGAGAGAGTGGGATAAGTAGAAGGGGAGAAGAGCCGAGGCGGGGGATGGAGGGAAGGGGAGGGAAGGAGTTAGTGGGAAAATTAGAGGAGGAGGGATATGGAGGGAAGAAGAGGGAAGCGAGGGAAAAGGAGGGAGGTGTATAGAAGGTGGACGGAAGAGGAGCGAAGGGAGGGAGAAGGAGTGGAGGAGGGATAAGGAGGTGTAGGGGAAGAGGAGGGAAGGGAGAGAAGGTGAAGGAAAAAGGAGGGGATAAGTTAGGAGAAAGAGAAGGAGGGAGGAAAAGAATGATGGGAGGGAAGAGGAAAAATACGAGAAGTGGATGGAACTAGAGGGAGGGAGAGAAGGAAGGCAAGGATGCAAAACGGGAGATGGAGAAAGGGGGGAGACAATTTGAACACGATAAAAGAGGAAGAGGAAAAAAGGCAAGGGGATGGAATATATTGAGGGGAAGTGGAGAGAGAGAGAGGACACAGAGAGAGAGACAGAGAGAGAGGCAGATAGACAGAGAAAGACAAAGAGATAGAGAGATAAAGAGACAGACAGAGAAAGACAGAGAGAGAGAGAGAGAGAGAGAAGAGAGAAGAGAGAGAGAGAGAGAGAGAGAGAGAGAGAGAAGAGAGAGAGAGAGAGAGAGAGAGAGACAGACAAAAAGAGAAATAAAGCGATAAAGAGAGAGAGAGAGGAGAACGCTTTCCATATTGCAGCCCGAGCTCCTCAAGTTGCAAGCGTTGGCGTCGGGGCGCCGTGCTTGCGAAGGGGAGAGGCTGCGGGTTAAGAGACGTGATGTGCCACTTTCGCTGCGAGTCGAGAGGGAAACGGCGCAAAATATTTCAGGGGGAACCTTTTTTTGTGTTAGATTAGGTTTTCTGCTTATTCATGTGTGCGTGTTTGTGCGTGTTGTAGGATACGGGTAGATGCCTTTGTGGTTTCGCTTTCTCTCTCTCCTGCTTCTCTCTCTCTCTTCATCTCTCTCTCTCTCTTCTCTTCTCTCTCTCTCTACTCTTTCTCTCTCTCTCATCTCTCATCATCTCTCCTCCTCTCTCTCTCTTCTCTCCTCTCTCTCTCTCTCCCTCTCTCTCGCTCTCTCTCTTCTCTTCTTCTCTCTTCTCTCTCTCTCTCTCTCTCCTTCTTCTCTCTCTCTCTCTTCTCTTCCTCTCTCCTCCCTTTGTTTCTTCTTCGCGCTCTCCCTACTCTCTCCTTCTCTCTCCTCTTCTCTC